GAGGCTGGGGCTTCTGCTGGTAGCAGCAGACACAAAAGAAGCAGAGAAATAGGCACAGAACTTTCAGAGTCCTGTCCTCCTGCGGCCAAAGCCCCACTGGTTGGCATCCTTAGAGCTGAATGGTTTCTATCTCTGCCAAGGCCTGAACACTGGACGTTGAAGACTGGGGCTCCCTGCTCACCTCCACAAGGGTCTACAAAGCCCATTTCCATCTGCTATCCTCTTCCCTAGGGCTTCCATAGCAAACCCTGCAGCAGAGAATGCTGCCCTCAATCTCAAAGAAGAAGCTGGGCCTTGCCCCACTAAGAGAGATGGCCCAGGGTTACAGTTAGTATAGGCAGCATCAGAACCAGGCTATCTGCTGGCCCCATACTACTGATGAGATGCCCAGTATTCAAGGAAGAAGCTCTGTATATCTGACCCAGGCAGGAGCCAGTCATGAGCTGCTGCCATAAACTTGGGGCCTCTGGAAAGCTGGGGAAAACATACATAATTGAGGTCTCTGCCAGTGCCGACTGTACGTCTTGCCCTGCTGTAGGATGAGATGTATACTGAGGAGGACCAAGCAGGGCAAGACTAATGGCCAGCTGGGAACCAAGACTGGACTCATACCCAGAGAGGAGGAGAGCATTCTCACAAAAGCTCCAGTGTTTTCAGCCTAATGACATAGAGTTAGATGGTGTGAGCTAAGTCCTGCTTTGAGAGTTCCATGGAAGGTGTCTTTGACCTATTTTCAAGGGCTGTGGTGGCAGGAGGAATTTTTGGCCACATCATAAAGAGTTTTGTGGCCACCTCTGATAGACCCAGCTCAGGAAGTTGTCATTTTCCACAATTAGGTTATTAGTCACCAGAATGATCCCTGCCCCCAGCTCCTGGTTCCTGTGCTGACAGGCAGTCAGTGTGGCACCGGCCGCGGCAGCAGCAGGCCCTGGAAGATCTGGATGCTGAGGCTGGGCCCTCTGTGTGCCTGCCATGCTTGTGGAGCCTCGGAGCCCCGAGATTCAGTGCTTTGTTGTCCCAGGAGGTCGAGTTCGGGCAAGAAATCCCTTAAGATTTTAATGAAGGGTTGTAGGAGGAGAGTAGCTCCCAGAAAATCCACTCAAGGTAAAACCATGTGCTCTATGGTATCAGTCTATGACCTTTTCAGGTCATTTTTATTTTAAGGTAAGCAAAAGTCTTAAGCCAAAGGAATACATTAATAGAAGCATTTTCGGGAAACCAGCAGGGCGCAAAGCTCCTCACTAATTAGAAAGTTGGGGCTGTGTGGTGTTCACACCTGGGTCCCCAGGGTGGGCTTACTGAGGGAGACACAGTGAGGTGCGGCCCACCCCTCTGTGGGAATTTTGCCTAGTTAGCCCTTCTTCCAAACTCCAGCTCCTGGGCTCAATGGAGTGCCCCTGAGGAGCATGCCTGATCCTGGGGTTGACAGAGCACTGCCAGGCGCAGGGCTAAGGAGAGCTGGCCCTGGGGTCTGCCCCCAAAGCCATGGGGGACAGCCATGCATCTCAGTTGCCAGCTGGTGGCATTTACCTAAATGGAAGGAGCCTCTCCTCCCTGAGCCTATAGCTATCTCCGGCTTGGCCTCTGTGATGATCTCTCAGTCGGGGCACCTGTGTAGTGGACAAGCCCACAGAGCAGAATGGGATGGGGCTGGAGGAGCTGGACTTTTCCTGTTCTTATTCCTTTGGTCCACTGGCCAATACTCTAACCACTGAGCAAAATCAGCCAGGGCTCCTGGTCTTATTCCTAGCAGAAACAGGCTTAATGTGGCCACAGGGGATGGCATGTTTGTTTGTGTGAAAGAAACCCCTCTTTTTCTGAAGACGTGGGCGCTGCCTTGATTGTGGAGGGACCAAGGATTGGTCCAATGTTTCAGATGTGATGCCACCAAGGGCCCTTTTCATGTCTATGAAGTAACACTATCCACTCATCCACCCTGCCCAGGCCCCTTGTGCTTATTGTGGGCCAGAGGAAGGATTTGAGAAATAACTTAGCCTCTAAGCTTTGGACTGTCTTCTCAGGGAAAACAGTCTTCTTGGGGTATAAAAGTCAGAAGAGTGTGGCTTGCTGCACATGGGGAAGGGGGAGGAGCCAACGAGCAGGCACTGCATCCAGGGCAGGGTTAGAGGGAGGCTTGTCAGGTGAGTGGTGGTTCATGGTCAAACTATGAGAAGAAATAAAACAGCAGGGTAGGAATGAGGTGACCACTCTGCCCTTAGAAAAACGGGAGTATGAGTTCACAGGGAAGTGACTCTTTTAAACAACAGGTGGACAAGCCCCTGACATTACAGTAACCTTTCACAATGTTTCACATACTTCTCCCCTCCTTAAGTAATGGTGCTGACCACAGTTGATGCCTTTGGAGATGACTCCAGGCCACTGCTCAGGTTGGCACTTGTGCGTGGCATCTAAGCAAAGATGCAGCTACAGCTGTGGGAAGGACCAGCCCTGAATGGGCACCAAATCCCAGAGTCCCCAGATTATCATTTTGGCAAAGATCCCACAAGTCAATCTGCTTTTGGATCCTTTGCCTCATTCTTTCTGAGAGGCATTTGGTAGAAATAGACTGGTCTTTGAAGTCCAAGAGACTTGGCTTCCATTCCTGACTCTGCCGCCTACTAGTTGTAAGACTTTAGACAGTTTCCTAAGTCTTCATTTTACCCCTGTTTTATTCACTAGTTTGTTCATTCATTCATTGACTGAACATACATTTCTTGAGCATCTTTCATGTACTAGTTTAGGTACTTGGGAGTCATCAGTAGAGGAAACAGAAGTATTTTTTCTTTCAGAAATGTCTATCATAGCATGAGAGGCACAAAATAAACAACATGCCTGATAAGGTTAGAAGGTGATCAGTACTATAGAAAAAAAAATAGAACCAGATAAGGGGGATTTAGGATGCTGAGAGTGGTCGTAGTAGGGGCTACAGTTTTAAATAGGCTGGACAGGGCAGATCTCTTTGAGAAAATAATATCTGAGCAGAGCCTTGAAATGGTAAAGGACTTAGACTGTTCCAGGCAGAGGGAAGAGCCAATGCAAAGGCCCCGAGGCTGGTATGTTCAAGGAACAGCAAGGGGGCTGGCATGATTGGAGCAGCATGAGTGAGTGGGGAGAGGCACAGGAAGAAGTCAGAGGGGTGATGGGAAGATGAAGGGGCAGATGGCGTGGAGCCTCGTAGGCCACCATAGGCCATTTCACTCTGGTGAAATTCAGAGCCACTGGAGAGTTTTGAATGGAGTTGCATGAGTTCACCTAGATGGTAACAGGATCACTCTGGTTGCTGAGTTGAGAATAGATCATAAAGCAGGGCACAGGTAGAAACAGGGAAATTAGCTAGATGTCCACTGAGGTGTCTTCTAGACAGAAGATAAGAGTGGTTTGAATCACCGTGCATGCCGTGGAGGATGCTGAGAAATGCTGGATTCTGGCTGTTTTAAAAGCAGAGCTATCAGGATTTGCTGGTGGGTTCAGTGTGGAGCATGAGAAAAAGAGCAGTGGCAATGATCACTCCCGGGCTTGCTCTGGGCAGCTGGAAGGGAGGACCTGACATCGCCTGAGATAAGGAAAACTACTGCCGATGGGCCGGTTTGAAGCGGAAGATCGGGAGTCCACTTTGGAGATGTAAAATGGGGTAAAAATATCCACTTTCCAGGACTAAGGTGAGAATTAAATCAGATAACAGGAACATGCTTAGAATGGGCACAAGCCAGCACTCACTAAGTGTCACTTTCCCTTTTCCTCTCTCACACAGGTGGGTGAAGTGTGAGCGACTGGGAGTCATCCAAGCCAGTTTGACTAATTGTCTTTCTGTAGAAATAATAAACCAATCAGATGCCAAAACAATTTCCTCTCAGGAGGTTTTCTCACCCTTCAGAGAACTTTCACTGCTTTTAGAAGGGTCTTTCGATTTGTGAAAGGTTTCTAGGTGATGTTGACACACTGGTGTGATGATTTTCTGCATTAGTGGCACCTCAGGCCCAGGTAGCCTCTCATCTGTGTGTCACCCTTTCATGGAAGTCATTCTGCAGATGTCAGAGGAGCAGGAGGCTGGAGGCAGGAATTCGCATAACAATGAACAGAGATTAAGGGAAGGAGTTTCTCCCCAAGCTACACTTTTTATTAGCAAAAGATAGTTAGCTGATCCCTCAACAATGCATTTATGGTCACTAATGGGGTGTCTGATGAACTGGACTGGTCATAAAATTCTAGGGAGCTCTGGTTCTAGCTCCACACCACTCTCTAGCTATGACACATTAGGTAAGTCACTTAAACTTTCTGATTCCCTTGTTGAATGGAGGCTATAACAGGATGTGTACATCACAGCACTGCTTGAGGATTAAAAGGCATAACTCATGGGACCAGGCATGAGGTCACCTCCACAAGAATGTCAGCCCTGTGGGGAGCTGTATTCCCAGTGCCTGTAACAGCATGTGATACACAGAAGGAACTCAATAAATATTGCTTAAAGAAAATTTTTAAAAAGATAGCTGATATGATATTAGGTCACAACTTCCTCTTAGCTCCTTGAATCATTTGACTCAGTAAAATTACTGACACGTGGCACGTTGCAATTGGTGGATGAACAAAACAAAACAAGGTTATAATAGGTTTAGTCAGAACTTTTTTCACAAAGGGTATAAATGTATACTTGACTCCACAGAGAAGGAAAGAGGTGCCTGAAGATGCTAACCAAAGTGCACTCTCTGTATATGGGATGATTTGTACTTTACTCATTTGGATTTTTAACAATAAACATCATTCTTCAGACTATAGAATAATTGCTAAGAAGGCTCCGAAATGTTCGAGTAAAATTTGTGTGGGGCTCATGTGATGGATCGGCTTTCTCATGAGATGTTTTCCGTGGTTACATTGCTTCATCTGAGGGACAGCCTGGCCCTGCTGTAACCACAATGAGACAGGCCAAGCAGGGGCACGTGAGAGGGTGACAGCTTAGGAAAATAGATAACCTCCCTCAGAAGTGCCCAAACGTCCCTCTTCCACTGAAGTTGCTGGCTGCCCAGACCCGGAGTGGTGCTCACTCTCACTCCGCTGCTGTCAGGGCGCTCACTCTCAGACAGAGCCTTTGCTCCGGACAGAAATGTAGGAAAACTCTTTTTCATCATGCATGTATATACTGATCGACGGTGTGAGGGCTCCGGATAGGTATGCGACATCATTGACAGCGCCAGAATAACAAAATCTCTTCCAGAAGTTCTACTTTAGGGCTGCCTATAGGACTGGCACGTTGAGAACAGTGATCTCATCTTTATTCTGGGTAAGTTCTGGAGCTTTGGCTCATGGGCACTTGCCAGTGTGGGTATTAGCAAATGAATCCCAAATGCACAGGCTTCATTGGTCTGTGAAATATAGGTCAGGAGAAAGGCTTAAGTTTCCACATGGTCTCTCAAGAAAGCTATCAAACTGCAGAAGCAGAGCATTTGGTCCTTGGGGTCCTCTAGATCAGGAGCCCTGGTGTTGTCCTGATCCAACTATGTTCCCGTGGACTCATTCTTAAGAGCCCAGAGCAGTTCAATTCTTGAAAAATGATACATTCTCATACTCTCTGACCCTTAGCGTCCCACTGCAGGGTGCTAAGCTGGCTAGGGGGAATAGCACTCGATGGGCCACAGAAAACCCTCTTGTCCCCCAAGGCACTGAGGTGTGTGGATGAAAGAGACTTTTGGCAACGAACCACTTTTGCCCCAACACTGAACGTCCCTATAGTGCCTGATACTGCCATTTATGCAGCAACTGTCCTTGCCTCTTTCTGCCCCCTTCATTTTGATCCCCAGCCCTCCTGTTTTGGTGTCTTGAGGGTTGGATGCTGAGTGGGGAGGAGAGTGCTCTTCGGCCATGAGCAGTGGTGTGAGTGGGTGGTGAGCAGTGAGCCTCTGCTCACTACTGACTCCTCCTGGCAGCCTTCTCCCCACCCCTGGTCCTGTGTTGCTAACCTCTGTCTAACTCTCCTCTCTGTTCTCACGTGGCCAGGAGCTCAGAATCTGCTCCAGACAAAGAGGGTGCTGGTTTGGGCGCCTGACGACCAACATGCTACAGCCCCAGTGGGCATTACCCTCTGGGTGTCAGCCTGGATCAGGGTCAGGTTAAGGCACAAAGGTTGGGCAAGCAGCTATGGCATTCACCTCTCAAATCTCTGGCATTTCCAGGTTCTGGAACATCAGGAGAAGGGTACTTTCTGTGTCTAATTCCTCAGGCTAGAATCAGGGAACCCTGGGAGTGAGGACAGAGCCCAGCTGGATCAGACCCCAGGGTTCCCTCTCCATCTGTCCCTGCTTCTTTCCTGGACACTTCCCACTCTGTCCAAGGGCATTTGGCAGAACCCTCCGAGACCTCACATCACCTGAGGAGCACAGCATGGGAAAGTCAGGCAGAGAGCCTCCGCCTATCTTTCTCCTGTGCTCCGTCCTCTGTCCTCTATTCCCGGGGACCCCACTGCCCAGTTCAGACCATCATCTTGGCAAGACAATTATAATAACCTTCTCACTGATCCCCTACTGACAGCTTTGTCTAGCACTGTAGCCTAAGTCATACTTTAAAAATGTAAATCCAGCTCCTTCTGGTCAGTCAGATCTCAGCCAAATGTCCTCAGAAAGGTTCCCATTGATCACTCCCGAGTCTTCATGCCCTCATCTGTTATCTCCATGGCTTTTATCCCTGATATTGTCTGGGGAATCCTTTTGTTTACTGTTTTACTGTCCCTCCCACTAGAAAGTAAGCACCAAGAGGGCAGAGAATATGTCTTGAATCCATCTATTCGTCCATCTGTCCATCCTTCACAAGAGCTCACTGGGCTGCTTGGTGGTCTTAGACTGACCTGAGTGCTGAGTGGGAAGGAGAGAGCCTCTCGTTGGTGGTGAGCAAGGTGTGAGCCTACTATGACCAGGAGAGATGGGGCAATGGCCTCTTGGCAGGGTGCAACAAGCCAGTGGGCCATGTCTCTTTAAAAGCAGCAGGAAGCTAGGCTCTGAGATAAGAAGCAGGCCTGCCAGTGTGATAAAGGTGGAGAGAAGGCCAGAGGGTAGAGAGGTAAGGCTGCTCCGTGGGGATGCCCAGGCCTCTGTGGCTGGCCAGGCAGCACCACATGCTTCCTGTGGGGAACACGGAGAGGAGATCCCCTCGGTGAAGGCCCTGGAACTGGGGCTGCCCCAGGGACCTCACTCTTGACCTCAATGAGTGGCTGCTGTCCCTATCTGCTATTCATGGACACTTGGGCCCTGCCCTAGAGCAGGTTTCGGACCTGTGTGCTCTCTGCCCGGGCTTCCTCTGCTCCTCTGTGTCTTAGTCTCTCTGTTGGTAACATGGTTCTACCACACTGGTGGTTGTGAAGAGTCAGACATCTGAGAGGAGGGACTCAGTGGAAACTGGGGGCCGAAGGCTCGAGGAGGAGTGAGGCTCCGGAAGGCTGAGATATGAGGTATGAGAGGCAGGCACGGGGTGGAGGCTAAGCCAGGCAAGGCTCAAACTGCAGCTCTGAGGCAGACATGAAACACACGCTTAGAGGCCCCAGATCCAGCCAGCCTCCTGATGCTGAGTAACAAAGACCTGGCATGCCTCTCAGTATTGTATCCTGACTTGTTCATGCCAAGTGGCAAGGAGGGTAATGGAAGAGCACCTGGCAAGGAGTCTTGAGATGAGGCTTCAGTCCTATCTCTGCCACTCTGGCTGTGAGGCTGGACACGTTCTCTGCTTGTAGCTCCAATTACACCATCTGTGAAAGAGAGGCTCATGATCTTTCTCTCCATGACTGTCATGAGGATTGAAGAAATTAAGTCATTCCATGACTCTATGGGCTTCAGCCCCTACTCCCGCCAGGGCCACTTTGGGTGGGGATGGTACAGATCAGTGGACACAAGCGAAGGAAGCCAGAAAACCGCTGTCCTGACTCAGTGGCTTGCCCCACCCTGGCCTCTGGCCCAGATTCTGGAGGCCTTAGTCAAGGGGTGGGGGTCAAAGCTGGGGTTTCCCTGTAGTCCTATGGGACAGAAGCATTATAGGTCTCTGTAAAGCCCTCAAAACAGCTGGATGTGGCCCTGCTGGAGAAGAGCTTGGAATTGCCAGAACAGAGGGTGGAACAGTTGGACCCGCCCCCTGGGGAAACCCAGGCATGAGCTGGCACCTGGACCTGAGCATAGTTTCAGTCCACCCTGCCCCAGTGAGGCTCTGGAGAAAGCTGGAGTGATCTGCTGGCCAAGGGCTGCTCACCTGAATCCTGCTCAACAGCCAGCCTGTCCAAAGACACTAGCCACGGTGCCTGAACTATCCAGGCCTCTTCCACGCACCCTGAAGCTGTTTATCCCAAGCAGCTGGGTACCTGAGAACAGCAGAGGGAGGCCCTTTTCTGGGCTTATATATCCCAATAGGAAAGAGGCTTAAGCTTAAAGCAATAAAATCTTAATGGGGGATTGCTATGCATCAGGCTTATGACCCATGTGCCCAGGAGCTGGTTTTGTGCATGGCATTTTATTCCACCAGCTGCTGGGAGGGCTACCAGAAGACAGCCTCAGTTGTCAGCCCTCTTTGGGGCTTGCCCCTTCTGAAGAAGATTGCCTTATGTAAGGTCACACCTGCTCCCATCTAGGGAGCTCACATCTAGTCACTGGTAAGTGTGAGGGCATAAAAGGCATGGCTCCCTTCTCCATCTTGGTAAAACTCTGAAGAACCATTGCAGGGGAGCTTTTTGGGCTCCATGAGAACCTTTGTTGGAACTGTACAGCAGCTCAACCTCCCTCTCTAATCCTGCTTCCAGGCTTTATTCCACACGTGCCAATCCCAAGAGCTCTCCCTAATAAAGGTCCTGTATTGATCTTTGACTCAGAGTCTGCTTCTCACAGCACCTAATTTATGGTGATTGGTTCCAGGAGTGATTTTTTTTTTAAGGTGATGCTAAGATAAAATTCTGAAGCTGGACTACCTGTCTGGCTCCCAGTGAGGAACCAGGCCTTCCCAGATGACAGGTGAAGCACAGGCAGCCTCTGGCTCAAGGTAGTAGTGCAGTTAGAACTTTCACTCCTGTTGGAAGAAAATGCACTAAATGGTACAGTTTATCAGATGTCTGAGGAATGTGGGGGAATAAGTGCACTAAAGACAATGGAATTGGGTACTTATTGCTAAGCCTGACTGACTCTCAGAAAAAGATAATGAAAAGATTAGAGTGTTTAATCGGCAATTAAAAGCTAAGTGTGAAAACCCTAGGCCACCCTGGTTCATATAAAGAGCTCTCTCATCTCTTGCATTGGAGGAGAAGAATAAAGTTGAGAACCAAAGTCAAAGTAGTGAAACTCCAAAGAAGATTAAACTCCCAGCCAAGACAGACTTCTGTGCCAAGGTCAGAGACCTGGTTGGGAAAGAATGAGATTCTAATACATGGAGTCTTTGTTGCACCTGGAAATCTTGAATCTTCAGATATCCCTGAACCCTCTGTGCCCACCTAAGTGGCCCATTCATCCCTATTAAGAGTTGGGGACTCTAGCTCCTGCCTACCTAAAGATGATGCAAAGTCCTCTGTCCTGCAAAACATATTCTCTCTTCTTCCCAGGATCTGCTCCCACCTCCACTCTTGGCCTCTAGGCCAACAACTAAAGTTAACCTGGCTACAGATGTGCTGGACCTGCTTGGGAGAAAAAGATCTATACCTCAGGAATGCAGGAGTTAGCCAGCAAGTATGAGCAGGAGTTGGGAAAATATATATGGAACTGGATTCTGGATCAAGAGGGTAGAACAGAAATTTGGATGAAAGAGTTTATGGGTATGGGATCACTCTCCAAGGTCATAGTGTTTTAAACTATGGCAAGGACCCAGAAGATGGTGCAAATACACCATTAGAGTGGCTCCTAGAATTATGGACAAATAAGTGAGATGTGCCAGAACTGTTGTGGCAGTCTGTGGAGGAAGTGGGTGTACAGAAGTAGATATTTAAGCAAGGTTGGAAAACCCACTCAAGGACCCAGAAGATACCAAAACAATAAAGAATGTGCTGGAAAGAAGGGCACCAGCATCACTAAGAAGTAAAGTCATGGCTGTCCTCTATAGATCAGGCTGTGGTATAAGTAACTCTGCCATTTGAGCCATGTAAGTCATTTTTCAAGGTATCAGTAGTGGGAAAATAGGTTGTATCCCTAGCGTTCTGAAGCAAGGCCATGGAATTTACGTTCAGGAATTATACATGCCATTTGAAAAACAGCTCCTGTTATACTACTGAATGCTAGTGGAACTGGAGGGCCTGACTGAGTGACCATGCCGCTAGAACTACCTGTGATG